TCAATTCTGAAAATTATGAATCNTGAGGAAAAATATTCTTCATTGTACTTTATTGCTATTACGAGTTGTATATTTTATACAATGAATGATTTATATTTTGTTGTTGCCTTCAATAGATTATTGATATAAATACTAATGTTAATGGTGGAGTCATTAATATTAACACTTTACAAAGTTTAACAAGTTTGAAGGGCGAAAGTATTGAGTAAGCTTGCCAAATTGAAAATTCTCAACATTAATCGCCATCCTATTGGTGATATACGGCAATGCAATTCCTTTCCAACAGAAATGCAGTTGAAACTAATTCAAATATTCAAACTGAAGGAGTCTTTTGTCATCATCTCATCTACGATTCTCTCGTTTCTAATACAACAATGAATTTATAGAATGAAAAAATTGTTTTGTTGTCAATTATTGGTCTGTTGGGTATTTAAAAAGAGGGAATTATGCAATTTTTTGTAAAGGTGTTCATTAAGGAGAAGCGGTCTTGACCGAGTGGTTAAGGTGATTGACTAGAAATCAATTGGGGAGACCCGCACAGGTTCGAGTCCTGTAGACCGCGATCAGTTTTATCATTTTATAATCAAGTTGGCATATCTATTAACAATTTAGTAATAGTATTTATAACTAATTCGATTTATTGTTTAATATCATTTGTAATAATTTTTCATGAATTAGTTCCATTTGAATTAATCTTCCCTGAAGGATAACATTATCAGTTTTTAAATCCTCATATTCCTTCTTGGGTATTGTTATAGTTTCCAAGTTGATATTATTCTGCTTTGGACTATACACCTTACTCAAAGTTTCTAATGTATTGTCAAAGTTTCGTTTCGAGGTTGTGCTCTTTTTGGGCGAATTTGATAAACTAAACACATTAAAATGATCGCCAGGTTCATTATCTAAAAGTATAGACAAATCTGTCCTCTTAGAATCTAATTGCTGTTTTGGAGATTTTAACAAGTTTTCAGTTTCGGATGTTAATGAAACTATTCCTCTACTATTATTACTTGATTTCTTTGGAGAAGTTAAATTGAGCATGTTTAAGGTGGAAGATCTTTCTGCACCATTTTCATCGGGTGGAATAAGTTTTGGAATTCTGGGAATTAATTTCCTTAATTTTGCCAATGATGATAAAGTTAATAATTCATCCTCGTTCTCTTCATCATCTTCATCATCGGAATCGTCATCACGTTTACTACTATTATTAATATTATCATTGCTATTATTTAAATTAAGGTTTTCACTAGTGCCACTATCGTTAAAGGCTTTAATTAGGCTCATATTTATCTTTAAACCCTCATTAGTATTACTATTATTGCTACTAATACTTGTATTATTATTAGTATTGGAAGATTGCTTAGGAGATGAAGATATTGATGATTCGGAAGGTCCAGGTATATTAAGAGCCAATGAATTCCACCACTCTTCACTAGCATTCTCCCTCTCATCACCAATGTTATTCATATCCTTCATGATATGATGAAGATCCTTCATTTCCAA